TAATTTCTAAATTTTTTTTTATTTCGAACTTGTTTCGATTAGCCAATCAGATTTTGTATCATCATCAAATGATCTACTAATAAGAATGAAAGCCCGCTATGTTGTACCCGGTTGGTAAAGACGGTTGACCCGAGTAGAGATTTTCCAACCGGTTTGGAACCCTATCTGAGAGTTGGAGAATATAAACTGGCAGACCACTTGAATTGCTTATATGAATCCGGTATAAAGGTCGATTTGTTTGTCCATTCTGTTAATAAGAAAGCAAATCAATGATTGGCCTAACTATTATTGATCCATAACATCATATGATCATAGTGTTACCTCAATCTCCTCGGACATCTGCAAGGGTACCCCTGAAAGAGAATTTACTGCAATCAATATATCTCCACGGAAAGCGTTAATATTTTCGATTTCCGATTTATATACAAATGCGAATCTTCATTATAAGACAAAATAAGTGTAAGGGACAGGAATAATGAAACTATTTGGGATCTCATTAATAGGTTAAATAAATTATTTTAAACAAACCTTTCTTCGGTTTCATATATACTTTTGATATTGATATCCACAGTTTGATTAGCCTTTTCAAGTTCCAATCGTTCAGATTCAAGGTTGGCATTAGCCACTCGAAGTTCTTCAATCTTTGTTTTATAATTCTGGCGTAGTGAAAATGCTGATTGTAATTGCGTACCTCTAAGTGGATTATCAATGGTGATGATTTTGAAATTTATTTACGCGATTATATCACACAAATGAAGGACATTATGAAAAGTCAAATAAATTTTTCATACATACTTCCAACGAACATGGTTTTTTGAATTTTTTTCAATCAACCCAATTCCTTCTAATACGTTTGTTATGTCATATATTCTACGCTTTTGTACTTTTAACGCGGTGGCCGCTGTGTTAAGGTCTAAATCTCCATCCTTAGCTTCTTTTAAGAGACAGACAAACTTCTTTGTGAGAAGACCGAGAGAACTGTCGTAGCGGCAAGAGCCGGTCGCAACAATGGCAGTTTCTACAAAGTAAGAGTTGTAAAGCCAAAAGCTTGAGCAACAGTTTTTGATCATATATGTTTAATAAAGACAGCCAAGGAATTTAAACGCTCCGATTCACTGGTTACCGTTCTTCGGTGGCTGCTTTTTAGTGGTTTGTTTTCGTCGTGAAGGACGATTAAGTACATTTCTCCTACTTGAAGTGGTACCTCTGCGGTTATTAGCGGAGGTGAGATTAAACGACATGTCTTTAATTATTATCTTGTCGCTTGACCTGTTGACCAAAGACAATCTTGTATTCGGTAAGTTGTAAAAGACGTCACTGCGGTCTTTTTGAAAAGAAAGTGATGGATGATCATCGGCCAATTGGAAATGACAATATATTTTTAGGTATTTTTAGTGTGGGCGCTTGCACTGGATTCAACAAAATTTCTAAAAGAAGCATAATTGCCGTTGGGAAACTTGCCTAAAGAATGTAGAATGCTGAAGAATAATTATTAAGTTAATTCTGCTCGTACAAATCATATTTGTGTCATTATTTTCATTCTTTCTAAAAATTCTTTTCATTCATTGTAATTTCACCATCTCGCAGTTTCATCTCAAGGTTGCACCATTGTCTTAACAATGAGCGGAGAATACAATGAACAATAAAGGTTTGTCCTACTATAGATAACAAGATTATGTTGGTTTCGTGCATATATGATTGAATTTTTTCGTTTTTCATCTGTTTCGAAGTACTTCCGCATACATCTGATATAGTTGATAGTATAATATTTTTTTGTGCCATATGCACCTACAATTTAGTCCCTTGAATTTCTATCAACTTTATTTAGTACGTAATAGGTTCTCTATCATGCTCAAATTTTCTGTAGACTATAATTTCATTTCATATAACTAATTATACCATTGAGACTATTAATGCAATTTATCTAATTAATTTATTAAGTCAGACAATGTGCATATGGTAACATTTATGCTCTATGCTCTCTTGATTTCAATAATTTTAGGGAATTGATATTTCTATACCCATGTTGGGTCCTGCGCACCCCTACAATCACATGATAGGTTTAGTGGTATTTGGATTTCTTTCTTTCTATGCCGAGTCTTTTCTTTATTAAATACATATCAAAGATATTATCTCTATTTATAGACGAAGTCTTGTTTTACATATATATTTTTTAACACGAAATGTGTACTACATAAATAAGCATTTGCAATGGAGCCAACCAACATATGATATATATAATATAATACGAAAAGGATTAGCTCTGACTGAAAGTTTAATAATGGTCAAATTGTCGTTATATATACATAATATACCAGGTGGGCTAAACTGAACGGGACCACCTTTCACTACGTATTCTCGCTATTATCTAAAATTTAATATCTTTCAAATATGAAGATATTTTATATTAAATACAAAATACATAATATCAAATATTAATACTACGTACAATCGCTTGCATATTACTATTTGAAATTGTTTTGTAATTATTTATACGTATATAATTTGCTTTTGATAAGTGTAATAAAAACTTTAATAATTTTATCTACTGTATTACGATATTATCTCGATTTTTAATAAATTAACTCATACATATTTTTTTAAAAAAACAAAAATTAAAAATTATTATAAAAAGCTTTTCCCATCGATCACTCGTACCAAATTTTTTTACAAAGTAACAAAAGTATTTTTACATCTACAACCCTATTTTATAAAACTTTTTTGGTCAAAGAGTTTTTATAAATGCTGATGAAGCAAAAGTTTAATACTATAGATAACGAATTGCTGAAGTTGTTATAGGTCTTTTGTAGTTTTTGTAGAAGTCAATAATAAATATGACCTTGTTCTTTAAACTTTTTTTAACAATTTGGGGGTGAGTCAACAGAATCCAGGCAAATTGTTTTTATTAAAATTTTTCTTGAACTTTAAATTTGAATATCTCGAC